TCGATTTGTCCATGATGTAGTTCTCAAAACGAATTTCGAGATAACATATGCGATTTAAGAATTTGACTAGTGTACGATCGTCGAATTTTTTTTAAAATTAGCGTGTTATCGAAATTCTCGAAATACTAGTTTGGAACGGTGTACATTGATGCGTCGTAATATTTGTTACGCTTGACTGTTTCACACGCTGTTAACGACATGAAAAATTAGGTCATGAGTATTTCGAAATGATATTAAAAATGTAATATTTCGATTTTGTTTAACATCTCGTAATTATCTCGAAAATTGACATATTAAAAAGAGTTTTTATTTCTTCCCTTTTTAAAATTACGTGTAGCTTACCTTTTTTTTCTTTGGCACATCATCATTTTTTTAAAATTATGTAAACGTTCTGTGATTGAAAGCATGTACGTATGGCATTATTGTTTTATATATTGTGGATTACAAGTTTCAATATTCCGCTACTTAAATTATTCATATTTAATATTTTTGCTATTGATATCTAAAATGTATATATTAATTGAATAATAATAAATGATTGTAGGAAAAATTAAAATAAAAACATAAGTTAAATGTTTGTTAGAATATTCAAATAGTTTACTTTATGAATTTAAAGATACTCTGTAAAAATAAAAAGTGCAGTCAAACTGCTATTATCACTATAGAAGAAAACGTTATTTTACAAACTAATGTTTTAATGACAAAATCAATCTAATCGTTAAAAACTATTTTCAACAAATAAAGGATATGTTTCGTCGTAGAAAAAAAATTGTAAACAATCGAATTTTGAATTTTTTGAAAATATGTTATAACGATCAGAAAATTAATTGTTAATCCTATATTTTCTAAACCAAATTAATATTGATAATTGTGAATGGGCGACAAATCAAAAAATCCCAAAATATATATTGATATTCAACGACAATGTAATCGGTTATTAGAAAATAAATAATGTAGTAAATATTCAATGACTATAGCGTTTGATCGTTAATGTAGTAAAACAACTAATTGTATCTCGTTCTTGGAAGTAAAAGAAAATAATACATTCAATGACTATCTCCATTGCAGGACTAAGAACTTCGGCCAGCATAACCCAGATTCTCCTTGTTGGGCTATCTTTATAATGATTGGGGCAAACATATAGTAGATGAAGTCGGAAAAAATTATGATGAATTCAGAGAAAGAAATTTGACTCAACATTTGTTTGCACTTTTCTTAAGATGATATTTACCCATATCAAAACGCCTTCAAGATATAATTGAAACCAAACATGTTGTTGATAGCCCAAGGATAACAAACCAAAACGAAGGGTGAATTGATTTTTAAAAACATTTTCGAAGAATTAATTTAAATTCAAGCAAGTAAAAACTAAATAGATCAATTCAAATAATAAGCGCAAATATAAAAGTGATAAGTAAAAGTGAGAGATGATGCAAACGATGTTATTGTGGAGGTTCGATCATAAGCAATGATCTATGTCCTCTGTTACCAAACTCTCCGACACTAACAAGTCATTTTCACTATATTGATAGACTTATGATACAATCCAATCATTTGTAATGCTTCTGTTGATTTACAAACAAAAAGCACCGATCATTATACAATGTTGAGTTTTACGAGATCTCAATATGACCCACACGGTGACTTACAACAAGAAGCACCGATCTTTATATAATACTGATCTTTACAGAACTTCAACACGACCCACACTTTATCAAAGTGATTTTACAATGAAGTTCATTTCTTGATAAATAATACAAACAAGTTGAGTACTAAAAGAGCTAACACTTCAATGAATAACAATAAATGATAGCTCAAGTGTTGATGAAAAACTATTATTTATATAATAATTAGAAATTTGATTCAATCATTCAAATTTTTTCAATGAGAAGATGAAGTAGAAATAAATGCAATATAAGTTCAAAAATCTTCTCAAAATATATATCTCTTTTAATGAAGATTGTAATAAAGTAAGTACCAAGAAAGAGATGGGAAACTTTGATGAATATGCTAATTTTACAAGTTTGATTCAATCAATCAAAATTTTCAATATGAAGTAGTAAAAGAAATATATGCAATGTAAGTTCAAATATCTTTTTCAAAATATGTCTTTTTTTTTATAAGTAATAGAAATAAGTTAAGTACAAAAAGAGATATGAAAACCTTCAAGAAGATGGTGATTAATAAGTTTGAATCAATCAAAGTTTTTTATATGAAAAAATAAATAAAATGAATGCAAATGTAAGCTTAAATAAATCTCTCAAACAGATATCTCACTTTGATACTCTTGAAAAATGTTGTATTAAATGCAAGAAATGTATTTATAGAGTTCAAAACGTCAAAAAATTTGGAAGTTCGAATGACTTGTCCAATCGACCGCCTCTTGTCCGAATGACCAATACAATCGTTTGTACAGTAAAAATCAGAGGTCGGAACAGCCAAATTTTGGACCGTTGAAAACTTCCAGTCGACCGCCTTTTTAACCGGTTCGGCTGCCTGACAATTTTATTTTTTTACATTTTGACCCTATTTGATCTTATTCGAAGGTTTTGAAGGGCATGAACTTTTGAAAAGTATTTTTAACTAACTTTTCTAGATAAAAGATATTTTTCAAGTTCAAATATCATTTTAAAAGTCATATTCATATTCAATCAAAAATTAAATTAGAATGACTTTTAATGCATAAAATTATTTTTAATGCATAGAAGGATTTTGAGTTTAAGTCTTCATTGTCATATATCAAAGTGTTAGTACATTTACACCTTAGCTAAGAAATCAAGTCTTTGATTTTGCTCCGAAATTTGACTCTTAAGTTCTTGAATGTGATTTCGATTTTGACCTTCTCATGAGTCCAATTTCTGATGATTTTTTTTTGATCTTTTCGTGATCATCGATCAATTTTCCATCGTATGCATTGAAAAACTATAATCACTTGAATTCAATTTGTTAGTAAACAATATTAACTCGTTTGTTATAATTAAAATTTTAAAATTATAATCAACCATAGATCAACAATTGTTTGTAGTGAAAGCTTACAAAATGACCTCAAACATTAACGAGAGAAGAAAACAATACGAAGAAGCTCGTGTTTTGTATTTTTGGATTAAAGACACAAATCAAACTTCGAAAACAATGAAATGCAAGTTTGCGGGAAAAAAAATATTTAATGGAAGAAAAAGAGGGTAAATTCTATCGTTTCTTCTATATCAAACTAGAAATCAACAATCTTATTTATTAAACAAACATTCTCGAGAGTTGCAATCTTTTACTTGAGTGACAACTATTCAAAATATTAGTTACATATATGAGTTTAGGTGTAAATGGCCCATTAAAAGGGCTCCTCGAGTTAACGAAACACAATCATCCCCATCGACAATCTCAATCTCAATCGTACTTTCATTTTCTTTATACTTCGAGAGCTGAAAAAATTAACGTAAAATTTAGGTGTAAATGGCCCATTAAAAGGGGTCCTCAAGTTAATGAAACACAATCATTTACATCGACAATCTCAATTTCACTTTCACTTTCATTTCCTTTATACTTTGAGGGCTGGTAATGTTAACGTGAAAGGAATAAAAATAAGTCTCTTATTGATTCAAAATTACATTTATAAAATTTAAATAATAAATTTGTCTGAGTTTATGAATAACACTATAATGAATTGAAGATGAAATGTTGTTAAATGGTGGGTGCATTGCTCTAGCCACCATTTAAAGAAACTTGTACAATTCTTTCAAAAATCAGTGTGACCACTTGATAAATTTTCTGTGACTTATTTATTAATTAAATAGGTTAAGGTCACAATAGCATACAACTCGGAAGGAAGTTTTCGCAACTTACGGGTGAATGAAGCAACGAGCGTTGTCCGGAGCAGTGTCGCATCATTTATGGTGACAATTACGTATTAATCCACAAATCACGTCATAGTCATAAAGACAAATTGTGAGTCACGATTATAAATTTAGCCACAAATAACACATTTTTATATGCCACAATTTATTAATCGATTACAGCAATATATAATTTATGGTGTTAATTACGTACTAGTCACAAATCACATAACATTACAGTCATAAAGACATAAATATGGGTCACATTACAATTTAGTCACAAGTCATACTTTTAATATGTTACTACTTATTTATCAATTACAAATTATCTATTTTATTGATCGTAATTATTCAAATAATTGATCACAAACGATCTTCATCCAGCATCACTTTACTCCACCACCGCCAACAGTATCCAAATGCCTATGTCACCTCACCACCAATGCCACCTCCTCTATCACCAATCACCACCACATCCTCCTCAAATCCACCGTCACCTTCGCCATACCTCCACCTCCACCTCCACCTCCAACCAACCACACCTACACCACCACTACTACCTCATCAAATCAATCATCTCCTCCACCTCTACATCTTGTTCTCACAGATCGTACAAACCATTACCACAGACACACGGAACATTGCAGATAATCGCTCACTCCCGCTTGCCCAAACACTGCTACTTCTCGCGTCGCCGCTTCTACTTCCTCTCTATCATGTTGCCGCCACCAAACGACTTGTGAAGTGGTGGTTGGCGATCGGTGGTTGTCTCTCTATCGTGCCGCCTTCACCAAACGACTGGTGAAGTGGTGGTTGGCGGTCGGCGATTGCGTGGTTCATGGGGGTGAAAATGGGGATGGTAGTGGGAGTGGAATGAGGGGTTGGCACCTGATTTTTGAAATAAAATTCACCTCATCTAATTATTGAAATAAAAACTTAAAAAACAGGTTTCTACGTAATTTTCTCTGCGCAATTTTAATATTCAGAGCCAATTAAATTTAAGGAGAACTGGACTGAACTGGAAGTCCAATACTAGTTCGGTCCAACTTTAGATGTGACAAGGGAATTGATTTTGAGGACAATAATCTATTTCTCGACTCATAAAAAAATCTGATTCACTGTATGGACTTGGAGTATTTGTCTTTAGTACAGTGTACACACCTCGGCAAAATGGCCTTCTCTGTGCCCACATTTTCAACATTTCCTTCAAATTTCTTCAAAAATACCCCAAATACAATCCCATCCATCCCTCAATTCAGTTACTCTTTTGCATTCCCCAATTGTAACAACAATTATATATCAACCAATAAAAACAGAAAAATTGAATTTGGATTATTGTGCTGCTCTTCTACATCTAAGCAACGCCGTGGCGGTGGTGGTGGGTCGCCGCCAGCCACGCGGAAGAAAAAGAAGTCCAATAGTAAAAGTAGTGGCAAAAGTATAATAGATGATGATTTTGAAATTGAAAAAAGTGGGGTTGAGTTGCTGCAGTCACCGTCACCGTCATCGTCGGAAGAGTTACCGTACGAGACTTTGCCCCTTCCGAAACCACCGGCAGGGTTTGTGTTGGATGACCAAGGCAGAGTCCTCGTGGCCTCTAACAAACGCATTGCTACAATTGTATGATTTTTATTGTTATTTTTGTATCGAATTCAATGTATGCGTGTGTGCGTGTTATTGCATTTATCTATTTACTTCTTATATATGATTTTTATTATCATCCTTAGTTTCTACTTGGGAACATGAAGTGCAGTAACACTAGGTCGGATGTAATGTGACGGTCATTATTAGTTCGATTTTAGTGGTGATGAATATGGATAAACTTTGAATAGATTCACTGCTAATCAATATACACATAAAGTATACTACGACTAACATCTTTTCAGGGAAACCACACACTGATTTGGGACCGCTGGAAAAGGTAAAAATGGCGCTTTACCTTTTACTGAGGGAGATGAAGATTATGGGACTTATAATGGATGCGAAATTATTGCATATAATCTATTAAAAGCTTAAAAGACTGCAATACATAAAAGCATTGATCCCCCTTTTGTATATATTATGGCAGAGATTTTTTTTTAGTTATTATAAACTAGTTTTGAGAAAGTCCAATAAGAAATATTAAGGTTTGAAATCCCAACTACCTGTTGTGTGTTTGAGCTCTGCTCCTTTTCCTTTTGGATTAATTGTTGTAATCAATGAATTTTGATTAGAACAATACCCTCATTGCTGGGAAGTGAGTACTTTTAGTTCATTATATAAACAAACAATTTTAAGTAGAAAAGTAGCTTTATTTTTATTTGTGGATTGACCCTGGTTCAAGAAGTTTATTCATTATTGTAAAAGATGACAACTCGTACTCTTTCCTTGCTTCCACATCACTGTCCTATCTGGATGTCAATACAAAAGATTATGTTATACATCTATGTGAAGATTGCTTATGGTAATTTTCTAGTCCCTATTTACTTTCTCGTTGTTAATGTTTACCCATTTTATTATTTTGGGGCACCATGTATCTTTCTTTGGTTTATCCTATTTTTATTAACCTAAAGGAGTTGCTGACAGGTGGATTCGACCAATAACTTCCCCCTGGAGTGCATCATAAGGAGGGTATTTAGAAACTCAAGAGGCGATGAATGCATGCTGCTCTGCCCAGTAGATATGTAAGTGAGGACTGCCTGTGGCTAAAACTTTTTTCCACTTGATTTCTTACTGAAATATAACTGTCAAAATTAATTATATGCAGGCCCGTTCAGATTTTAAAGAGCGTCAATGTTGAAGGGTGGTCTGCTGTAAGTCTAATCATATATCCCTTTTTGACTTGTTTCCTTGTCTAATATATTGCTGGCATCTTCTTTTTGGTTGCTAGTAAATATGGTTGACTTATTCTTGGTTGGATGGGTTTTTTTTTTCAATTATTATTGTTATTTATTTTTTTATATATTTATGATATAAGGAACAATAACCTATATTTGCATAAAGAAAAGTGAAGCAAGATGTAGGATCTAACCTTTAACTGACTATTGGAGCCGGTATAAAATTTCTTGACTAGTTTAATAGTACTTGAGCTGGAATAAGAGAGTCTATTGATTTTGTAGGTCAGTGACGAAGAAGTTGAGTCTATCCTTCCCACTGCAGCTTACACCCTTGCCAAAATACATATGCATCTGGTGTACAGCGGGTATGCCTAAGGATTAGATCATTTTAAGGCTATCTTTCTTTTACCATGTCATGGAAAAGTAACTGATTTTGTGTAGCTTTGTGCGTCGTTATTAGATTTTGTTACACAGCACGAGGAGGATTCTGCTATACTGAGGACGATATAATTGAATTTCACACAGGTAGAACTCTGTCTTAACCCTAATGCATGTGGTTTGTTGAGCAACAAATATTTAATCCACTTTCATTTGCTGCTTTCATATTTAGCCCCTGTTTGACATATATTAAAATTTTCATTCTCATTCTTCTACTCATTTTTAACCACACATTTTCAATAAAATAATATTACATTCTTCCAAAATAATACGGCTCAAACACACCCTTAGTTTCTTCACTGTTCGTTTGGAGTTGCTGCATCTTAGTCTGATTTTCAACTCTTATTTAGAAATCAAATTGATATCCAAGTTGAAGGCGCCACTCTACTTTCTCCAAACATTTATAATAATTGTTGGGGATCAATAAGCTATGCCATTTAGTTAGGTTCTTTAATTCATTTGGCCCAAAATTATTTAATTGAATTGACCATAAATAAAAAAGAAAGATGAGAGAGGAGAAAAATAAAGAAGTGAAAAGAAATGTAGAACTTATTTATAACCTCTATCAGAAAAATGAAGTTATCTAATTACCGGCCATGATGGTAAGTTAAGACTATGCCCTTAGATAAATACTAACCAATGAAAGTTTCGCTTCAAGCTGGTTTATGTACAATTCACCCATAGTTTGCTCCAGACACGCCACAGTCTATGGCACTATTATCTGGTCTATATTGTCTTACCATCACCGCCCCCGATAGCATTTCATGGTTGATGAGCTGCACTCATCGACCAGTCTCCATTTGATAATGTCATTGCATGTAGCCATGACTTACCAATCTGTCATTAAATTATCATTTGTCAATAAAAACCCCCAAAACCTCCAAAAGTTATCACCCACAATTAGCATTATTACAATAAATAACTTTGCGAAGCACTTTCTCGTCCAAGCTCTATGTCTTGTGCAGCAGATTTGAATTTATTAATGAAGAATGTGTACAATTCTGCAGACAATGGTCAAGATGTGGATGGCTTGCCAACTGAAGGCATAGAAATTGCATGCTTCCATCTGGTAAGGTGTTAGTATCTGTTTAGTTGATATATCCTGGTAATTAGGGAAAGTCATTAGTTAGCCTTTGGCTTGTGTTTAGTAGTGAATGGCTTTCTAGATGAGATAACGTGTTGCATGTCCGTTAATATTTTGTCATCTTAATGTCCACTTTTTGCAGGATGGTTCGCACTATATGATTTATACGCCTTCAGACCCTCTTCTCTTCGTTGCTTTGAAGGTAAATAAAAGTTCTTAATCTGGAAAAAAGTGGAATTTTAAGGTTGCTTTCAGCTCAATCCTTCTGAAGTATTATGATGTATCTGATAATTGAATTTGAGTCCAAAGTTTTATTCAGGACTTGCTATAAAATTGTTTTTGTTCTCTTCTTATTGCAGGATGAAAATGGTGCATTGCAAATAGCTGATGATGTAAGAAATTACACTCCACATATTTATTTATATTATACAGTTTTTGGAACTGGACCTGACTGGACCGCCAGTCGGGACCCGAAACTGGCGACTGCCGCTCAAATCTGATTGGGTTGCTTAATACCAATCTGCAATCGACCCTGTCAAAGCTGCTTGAATTGGTCAAGAACTGGCTGAACTGGGCAGTTTTTATCCGCCTGTATGGTCAGTTTTTACTAAAACCCCTGTACAATGACCAGCAGTAAAACCATTTACCCACCGTTGAACCTGTGACCCATTGACACTGCTTTGACTGAGTCAATGACCAGGTTGGGTTTGAGAAATATGATATCAAATCATATTTTCAGTTCCTGTTTCCAAGCTATTTGTTCGAAAGAGACCAATATTTAGCTCTAGCTACTGCTTTTTCTCTAAACTTCTAAATGGATCTTGAAATAATTAAATGTTCAATTACAAGCTAATTCTATTGTCAATATTTTCCCCGAAACAGGAACTATTGGATGATCCTGCCATAATTAGTGCCATTGATGAGGAGACTGAATTTAATGCATTAGTGGTATGTATGAAACAAACCTCACCTGTTGAATATACAAGTCAGGAGCTTAACAGTTTCTCTCGTCTTGGTATATTACAGGAAGAAGAGGATGCGCTGCTTGAATCATTATTAGGAAAAAGATGATCAAGTTATTGTATAATTGATTTTTGGTAAAAAAAAAATTGGCTAGTTTTAGTCCTTGAAATTCAATGTTGTAAACTTGGTAAAAGTAAAGTTTGTATATGGCTTGCTACATTTAGCTTTATGAGATGTCCCCATCTCCCTATTAAGATGAACATCGTCCGTTTCCTCGTACAAATTTTAGAGAGAGTTAATTGAGGCTCTTAATAACATACTTGACAATATTGAAGAGATGTTTTGTTAGTGAATAGAGTGCTCGCCTACTTGGGTTTATTTGGCTAGGAAGATATCTCTATTAGGTATCTGTGAGAAAATAAATTATTCACTCATTGTTGGGCAATGTGAACAACGGAAGGAAGAAAATGATTCGATAAATTGTGAACATTTTATTTTCTACGCTTCTTTTCTTCAAGTTATCTAACTAAAAAAATGACAAGTCCTCATTTCTCTTGCATCTACTTCCTACTTCATACAACTGGAGCTTATTGTCATGCGAGAACATACTATATGTAGTTGTGCAATGCAAGCAGACCGCGAACCTACACCTGCTACAGTTTAAGTTTTGAGTTGGGTTTTCCAAAGCCCAATTGAAGCCGTGGCCTACCCACGGAGGATGCCTCTGCCGAAGGTTGCTGTCCTCCTGGGCTGGCAATGGTCCCTTGCCCCCTTGCCAGCAAGTATTTGCCCTCTTGCCAGCAAATACTCTGGGCACGTGTGCTCATGGAACTGCTACGTGTGACGATCGATGACCTTACGCATAAGATAAGCGACAAGGTTTGCTTGCAATTGCTAAAAATCTAAAGAATAGAGGCAAACCACAATACATAGTTTGCAACAACATAGGTATCTTGTGCTAGCTAACATGCCATCAATGCCCATGCTTGCTTGTAATGGCAAGCATCGTGTTGATCACGTGCCCATGCTTGCTTTTCACGTCAAGCATCGTGTTGATCCCAAGCCAACCGGCTATGAGCAATGTGTTTTGGCCAATTTTCTGTGTTTTTTTTCGTTCAAATAGTAGTATTTCGTTCAAATAGTAGTATGGAGAAACATCCTCAACTAGGGACTAAGCTTGAGTCCCTTGGAAAGGGGTGCCATTAAGGGTGAGATCCTTTTTTTGTTTTTGGATCCTGCAACATCTCGGGCATGAACAGTTATCGGTGCGGATTTTGGTGGTAGTTGCAAATATTCGCATGGACACTTCGAAGTCAAAGAGGGGAATGTTAATTATGAACAGCATTTGATTGTGAATTAGTTGAATTGGGTTCTCAAAATCACATTTAGGGCTTGTTTGGCAAAACTTTGATTTAAATTTTTTGCATGCTCAATGTTTCAAAGGATCAAAAGTCAAGTTGGCTGCTAACCTGTACTCAAGAACCAACCTTCCCAATTTATATCTCACGTGACAAGCATTGCACGAGTGTTTGGTTCCATTGATACGTTCTTCATAGTGGTGTCTCTAAACTCGACAATGGCTGCATCTCTTCATTTTATTCGCAATTTCATTTTGACTTAAAATTGATTTCTTGGAAAAAATTTGTCTTCATAATCACGATTTCTATTTTCCAATTTGCATTTCTTGTCAATTTCTGTTGTTGAGGACTCGAATTTATCCATCTTCCTTTTCTCTCTACTTTGGTTTGGAGAGATATAAGAATTTAGTATTTCATTCGTATCACTTTCTTAGAAGCCCTGAAAATGTTTCGATGTTGAAATTCACAAATAGAGATGGGTTTATATTTTGAAGTATCACAATCTAAACATCCAGGTAATGAGATCAGATCGATAACCTTGGTATTCACATAATAATTATAGAAACATAGATGTTTATGTGGAATGTAATCATACATTTAGATTATAATTAACAAAGTTTTAGTACGATCTTGTTTTTGGTTTAGTACTAATAACCTTTATAATAACATAAGTAAAATCACAAAAAGAAAAAGATAGGACTTTGTGCATTCAATTCAAGTAGGACTCTTTTAGTCGAAATCTAAACTTATATATTGTCATGTTCTTGTTCGTGGTAAAAATTGCATGTGAAGTTGACTTTCTAATGAAAGCTGATGGCTCCAAACCATGTTCACCAGGTTCTTACGATGTACAAGAAGAAGTTCTAACAGAGACTTCGAGATTCTAGATCCCTTGGGTACAAAACAGATATTAATTGTGGCCCGAAACTGAGAAAAGCAATATGTGACTTCTTAAGCAAAAGACCCAATATAGAGCCTTAGCATTTGGACCCTAAGATCCTTAACTGACATGATCCAGGCAATACATATAGTGTAAAAGGCAGGACAAGGCTAAATGGAGACTCAATTTTATTTGAATCAATTCAAAACTTAAAAATGGGGAGGCAGTTAATAAAGAACAGACCAAATCCCGAAATATTAAAGTTTCAAATTTTCTATTGTAATATAACTAGTTTGGGGAAATATAATCTTTGAGCTAAGCAACAAAACAGTGATTAAGACAACTGGAACTATGTTTTTCTCCATACAACCGAAAATCATATCTATCGCTCTACAACTACATACACATGTATATATATAGGCAGATACGATCGAGTGAAGGATTGAGATTGTTTCAATCCATCGGCTAGATTTGAACTTGACCGAATTTCTAGAATGTTCTAAGCCCTAAACCAATATTCTAAATGATAGATTACCATGAGGCAGTATGATAGAGCTGTAAGTTGAATTTGGAGATTGTGGAGGCATAATCATTATATGGTCGTGGCCCCTTATGCCCTCATGCAAACTCGATTAGAGATATACACATAAGACCTAATGTAAAACCCATATTGACATGATTCAAGCATTCCGCCTAACATAAAAAGGTGGGATGAGGTTAAAAGGAGACTCGAAAGTTATCTCAACCAATTCACACGTCAAAAGTGGTGAGGCAGATATAGAAACTACACATACCAAATCTCGAGATATTGAAGTTTCAATTGTAACATATGGTGAATAAAATCTTTGGGCTAAAGCATAAACTCCATCTATGTCGTCCTCAATAGATAAACACAATTCAAATACGACTTGACTTATTTAGTTCAAGGAGTGGATTCACTTTGAATAAGACTCTAAAATGACTATAAATATACTCTTTTCCGAGTTCTTCACCTACACGTACAAATATCTCCAATTCAATCATGTTGATAATCTTAGGACATGAGTTCCAACTTTTTTCTTGTTTGATAGTCAAATTTTTCTTGGCAAAACATTTTTCCCCCAACCCCTCACGTGACCCCTTTTTCCAGGTTTTCATTGAATTGGTTTTCTCACCATTTTGGTGGGAAAATTGTTTTCCAGTTTGTTTTTTTTTTGGCAATGGAAATAAATTTCCCAATTGAATTTTTTTTCCCTTTAATAGACAATTTCATGGAAAACAAAGTCAAACGAATACTAAAAAATCCAAATTTTCAATATTTTCAGATGGAAAATCATACCAATCAAACGCAATTAATTGACAATTCTCGAGAAAACAAGTTCTAAGCAATTATTTTCCTTGGAATTCCTTCTCTTTCCACCTATTTTCCATTCTTGCAATCAAACAGATCCTTATTGTTAACATACTAACTTAGGCATCAAATGGAGCTAGCTATCTACAGGGGAGAAACAAGGACGAATCGAGGAAGAAATTTTTGACAGGCACCAAAAAAAAGAGGCTTTTCCGAGAATCAGAAGGATTTAATCTCGGTTTCAGATCAACCAGCACATCAACTCCAAATCTCAGCAGCAAAGGGAATAGTATCACTTAAATGTGTGAATGATCTTGTTTGTCTATGTTTTTTTTTTTTTAAATAAATAAATTGTAAATTCTCGAAGACTATGTATTATTTGAAACGTGATTTGGGATTAAAGATTTAAGAAAACTTAAATTTTGTCTTCGGTGTAAACCTTTCATGTAATAAAAATGTAGTGCACTTATAAAAAAAATGTAGTTTTGCTTAAAAGGTCGTTAAAAATTTGAGTCGAAATCAACAAATAATTTTAGTCTCTGGTTGAGCCACATTATTTTTTTTATTCTCATTTTCTACTCATTTTCAACCACGTATTTTTCATCACATCAATAATTTTTCCTTCTTTTTCAACCACATATTCCACCATCACATAATAAAAAAAAAATGCATTCTTGGCCCTAAAATGTGCACCAAACAGTCTCTAAATCTTTCATTTCATGGAGCCCACAACTTTTTTTTTTTAATCAACTTTCCTCAAAATTTCAAGGGGAGGCTTAATTTTGCAATTATACCCTTTCTTAATTATCCTCAATTTTTAAAAAAAACTTTTTATTAATTTGATAAGAGAAATTCAAAACTGAGATTCTATTTCAATATTTTTTCCCTTTAATTTATTTTCCCTTATTATATATACAAATCAAAGATTAACCACTTTTTAAAATTCATTTATTCTTAAAAAAGTAATTATTTTACTTAATCCGAGTTTCTTTAGACACAAGTAAAATTGATTTTAATTTAGAAAGCAAGACCCTGTAAGTTGTTTGGGACAAGAAATACAGCTTTCAAACGGCACGAATAAACTAATTATATACGGAATATTTTACTATAGGTCCTTAATCTAATTTCCAAATGACAAATTGGTCTTCAATTTTAAAATACAATAACTTGGACAATCTTTCATCATAATTTGTACAATTAATCTCAACAAATGAAATCATCCAAAGCTAGATTTTTATTTTCTACCTTAAAAGTCAGTTCCTATAATTCAGAATGAGGCATGCTGTCATGAGGATCACACGTCATTGATAACCTATTTTGCAAGTTAGAGACAAATTTGCTACATGGGCAATAAATCGAGGACCAATGCTACAATTTTCCTTATATCTAGATATGTGATGCTGATCTTGGAATCTTGAAAACAGGAAGAAATGGTTTTGGATTACTTTTTCTTAATTTGCACGTAACTTAAAAAGCTTTACATACATACATATATATTTATATATATCATCAATCAATTCTTTTCACATATTGCTTTGGTAGCAAATGGACGACCAACAGAGGAAACGAGCTACAAGAAGCCATTTCGAGCAGGTTTTATTCTTATTTTCGTGATTCGAGGATGTTCGGTTTCTCGATAGATGTACGAATAAATTAATGAAAATAACGTTATAAAATCTAAATTTATTGAGAATAAGATTTATCTATTTATTGTGGTTATATCGGACGTAACGCCATTAACGTTCGAATGATCAGGAGAGGAATTATTTTGCGACTTTGGAAATGACAGAAAGCGACGAAGACGAGACAGCCACCTCTACTTCTGATGATAATGTTGTTGACTATGAAGAATATATGAGTGATGCTGATTTCTTTAACAGTGAATTTCAACGTAAATTCTTTATTCATTAACATTACCATTAGTTAATTCTTAAATATATATATATATAGTAAGTTAATTAATTAATTATTTTGGTTATTGGTTTTTATCTTTTAATTCTCATCTTAATGTGCAGCTGAATTAGGGTTCTTGGAGGAGGAGGAGGAGGAAGTGTATAATTATGGCGATCAGGTTTCTCTCTAATTCGACAATTTATAACTTCCGCTTGGTTCAACTTAAAATTCAGATTAAAATTTAAGTCAAAGTCAATAATTGATTTTAACCACGCGTTTTATGGGATTCACAGTTTTTCAACCTACTTATAATTTGAATTAAACCTACTTATTTTTGTAGGAAATGGAGGAAGATGATGTTGATCCAGACGAATTATCATATGAGGTACGTAAGTATCACCATCACAATTAATTAGCTCGGAAAAAAAATAATATATAATTATAAATTTACTTTTATTTTATGGTAATTGCAGGAATTGATTGCTTTAGGAGAATCGGTTGGAGTAGAGAGCAGGGGATTATCAGAGGCTGAAATTAGTGGACACTTTCATCCTTTTGCATGGAAATCTCTTCAAAACTCTCTTACAAATATTGATAGGTGAGTCTAATTGTTATTTCTTTTAATTTTAGACTATTTGTTCGTTAAGATTTTAATAAAAACCCCACAACGATTGTATGAAAATATGTACTTTGAGAGAAAAATTGAAAATATGTTCAACGTATAGGATTTGGGTTACTCTAAATAAGGTTTAGAAAAAGTATAGGATCCACGATGTGGAGAGATATGTTAAGAGAAAAAATTCGACGTTGATTGTATATGAAAATAAAGATTTGATCTCGAGACCTAATTGACTTGTGGGTTAGAACCCTATCAAGAAGGTAACGTTATTATGGGTTATCTTTAGTTTAGAGAGTCAGAATCTGTTTGACATGGCTTTTGAAAAGTTAAAATGAACTTTTGAGATTTAAAAATTCTTTTTAGACCTGTTTGATTAATTTTATAAAAGTGGGTCTTCCAATTAGAAAAGTTTTTAAATGAAGCAAATTAGTATGGCTTCCTTTAAAGTTCTTTCGAAAGAGAAAACTATTTTAAAAATTAGTTTTAAAACTTTAATTAAGGTAGCTTTCTTAAAAACTTTTATGTGAGAAGTCGTAGCAAAAACTTAAACCCTACCAAACAAGCCCTTACTAATAGAGTATCCACCCGTTTAGGCTTATTCTTTTCCATTTGAGTTATAATATAGAGGGAGGGAATTTTTTTTTCAAGGAGATTTAAACTTACAAGTTACAATTACTTGAAGGAGAATTTATACCTTAATGTTTTATATAATTAATAATATCTATAAGTTTTTCTATTTAACTTACTACAAAAAAAAAAAAAAAAAAGGGTTGGATTTATCTAGAAAAGGGAAAAAACCAATAAGGAAAATTTGAGGGTTCGAATAATTTAGGAGAATGAAGAAGAAATTAATGGGGAAAAAAGGGCGAAGAAATGGAAAAAGAATGGATTATAATAGAGATTACCGGTCTAAAGCGAAAGAAAAGCGTGGAACAAACACCTGTGCGGCGGCGGGGCCCGAATTTAATGCGTGTATCATAAAAGCTGCCTTTTGTTGAATTGCGACAATTTATAATATAATATTAGGCAAGCTTTGAACATAATGCAATTCCAAAGATGTGTAACTGACGCTTCCTATTACTTATCGGTTGCTTAAATAAATGTTTTCATAATAGAGAATGGTGAAAATTGCATGGGAGGTTTTGATAAAAAGCAATGTTATTCATTTTCAGTGGGGATGAAACACAGTGTAAATGATTTTAAATGATAAGTTAAAAGAAAGGTGAAATTAAATGATTTATTTAATTTCATATATTATTTAATACCACATTAAAGTCACATAGACTGTATTTTCATCCTTAATGAGAATGAATAACATTACTCTTTCATAAATGGCCGGTCAACAATTGTTATCGGCTCCACTTCCAAATATCATATAATAATATTTACTATATTCACAACAATATTTATTAAGATAACACATATTACAAATTCGTAAATTATAGATTTAGTACTTTCGTTTACACAATCTTCTCATACGAATTCTCTATAAATTCTTGTAATGACTATATTTATACATTCTATTGTGTTAATTCCAAATCCTGATTCAATACTATCTTTCCAAATACCTTTTGTTATTTCTTCTAATTCTCGATACCATTTAGCTACATTCCCTTTAAAAGTTGCTAATAAATATTCAGTTCTATTTTTATTATCAGTATTACTTCGATTATAATTAAAGTGTGCTATCATACTTGCATTCCATTTATTTATATCTTTTCTAACATCTAATTCACAATCTAGATTTAAATATGATCTTGCAATTTTCAGTGGGTTTGATTNAACTTTCAGTACAAATTTGCTTAATGCTTAATTTATTTCATATTATTTTGTGTATAGTCTGTACTTGGTTGAACCTTAATTTATTCTGTGTTCGATGGATATTATTGAGGAAATAAAGTATTTTAAATAGTGATATGATGAGAAATTTGTGGTTAAAAAGTAAGGAAAATTTATTGATTTGATGTGAAATATTATTTTATTGAAAAATATGTGGTTGAAAATGAAGTTTGAAAGAATGTATTTTTAAAGAATGTGTGTCAAACATGGGCTCAAATTTTATTTCGTTGAAAGTTGACAAACAATCTAGGAATTATCATTTTCTAAAATAAATCTAATTTAATTAGTCAATCATACAATTTTCTTTTTATTTTTCTTTTTACTGGTCAAGTATACATTATTCAATAATTTTTTTAATTGGGGATACGCATAGTCGATTTTTTGCGATGTTACATATTTTGAACGAAAATGAATGAGAGTAACGAAAAATAAACCCTTGATTAGAAGATTATAATTGGGACTATTGGTGATACAATTTTCTATTTCAAAACAGATATAAGTCTCCGTTCGGTCCCAATTTTTGAAAAATTATTTTTCACAAATTATACGTTTCGTTAACTTTTATCAAAATTTATTATAAAAGTGATTTTTATCACGTGCTGAATAAAAGTTCAAGTTGGAATTGAGTAGTGCATAGTCAAAGAATTCATACATTAGAGACATGAAAGTCGACAACATGGTTGGTGGCTTTAAGAAAATGAATACAGGAATCATTAAATTCCAATTTGTTGACTTGATTCGTTGATTTGAAGTCAGAATTGATATGAGTAATTAATTAACATGAATTTAATCGTTATATGAAGGTCTAATCACATTTTCACTCCTAAATTATGTATACTCTTTCTCGATGTTTTTCGAGTTTTAATAACAACAATCAACCTAATGTTTTTCTTTTTTTTTTTCATTTTTTGGAGTGGGACATTAATTATTATTAACGAAATCAAATACAAAAAGTTGTAAGAGAGGAAGTTGTGCCCGACCAAAACAATATGTTTACGAAATTATTGAAAGACTGTATTTTCAACCTACATACAATAATACATAATATAAACTTTCGGGTGGCGAACCAGGGGGAATGCCGCCACTTTTCAGGATTAGTCAGACGAAACTTGGACACCCGAGTCATCAATATACATATATATATATACATATATATATATATAAAAACTTCATGAGCTCATTTCTCTTAAGTAGTCCATGTTTGGTGTAAATTAAAAAGTAGATAAAAATTTGAAGTCAAATTAATTTTAACGACGCATTTAATAGAAATCAGAACTTTTCTAAATACATTTTAGAGGGTTTCGGAAATTGAAAAATTACTCAATTATTGTTAAAATATTTTCCGTATGCCCCTCAGTAATTTTGTGAACCTAATATTTTACATTATAATTCATTTGTTTCCATTCCACCGTTATACACAGGCATCACAATTTGTGAAAACTCATGGTGCAAAGTGAAACTCTTGGAAATAAAAAGATTCCATGTGTAATTTATCCAAAATATTAAATAAAAATTGAATTAATCTACCTGTACAATGACGGTTGACAAAGTTCGTCGAGGCAAAATCTGAACAATTGATTAAAAAATGATTTTTTAAAAATAGATGAATATGATGATGTCAAAGTCAACAAACCTTATCAACTATCATTGTACATGCAGGGGCGGAGCTAGACTTTGGAAATAGGGGGGGCCTAGAGGTAGAGGTGAAGGGGTGGGGGCCTGCGGGGGTGCTGCC